TTGATCAAGCTGTCCAGGTGTCCCAGTAACAACCTTCCACACCACCTGAACTGTCTTGGAATCCAAAGACCCGGCCGGGGGCCATCCTGTCTCAAAGCTTGGCCATTTCACTTTGCAGAGAGTCCAGAGCCTACTTTTAGTAAGGTAAACTCTGTACTCCCATGAGAAGCCCAAGGAGAAATTTTTCAGCATACATTGAAGAGGGCTCAGAGGATTATGACTGGAGGAAGAGTTTCCCATTATGGGGAAAACTTAAGAAACTGCTGTGGTGGGTGAGACTGTGCCACCCGCTTGGCTCCGTACCCAAGATACCTCTGATGCTTCCACACCTTAAAGGCAAAGTATTCAAGTTTGGCCTTTTCCATTAAGGATTTGAGGAAGGACAACAGAGCCAAGTCTTGGAGGCACTGGACTTGTTGATACACAGGTAAAAGAGATGTTCGGGGCAAAGGACAGGGAGGAGGAGGATAAGGGCTACTCAAGTCTTTTTGATGATTAGAGAGCTGCCATGAAGGGGTGTAATAAGAGTGTAGAAGGTGTAGAGCTTTGTGGGCGTAGGTCTCCCTGCACAGTGCCTTATTTAAGGGCACCGGGAAAGTTACTGGATGGCAAAAAATGTGGGCAAGGAGATCAGCAGGATGGCTGTTTTGAATCCAACACTGATCTAAGGAGAAGTTAGACCAGTCACTGGGACATGGAGTGTGACAATCCAGGTACCAACAACCACGATGGTGGCAGATAGCCCAAACCAGTGAATGTTTTTCACCATTTCCCCGTAACAACACCTGAATTGCTTTTGACAGAAAAGGCAGGACTGGGATGGCCAGCCCAAATGACTCATGAGGGATCTGACCTCCTGTGATAGGGAGTCTGTACTAAGGGTCTTGAAAAAGTTCTCGCCCAATTGTCTGGGGCAATAATGACGACAGGACATACAAATCTGAACACTAGAGACGAACAGGACAACAGACACGAGACATACAAATCCAGATGTTAGGAACAAAACAGGAGAACTGACAGTGAGGTAGATAAGATATTGAGGCAGATAAATTATTATGACAGTTCATCAAGGACAAACAAGGGAAGGGGGTCCCATATTGGGATCACTCAGATGCCCCCCGGCCACTCCCCTTAGGGACTTGGGTGCCTCTTGACATAGACAGATTGGTATAAACCTCTGATTTGGATCAGGACTAGTCCGATGCTGTGGAACTAGTCTGATGCTGTTGTTAGGCAGTATGAGGTCACCATGGAACCGCGGGTTAAGGCCCACTTAGACTCTGTAGCTTTCACCATGGAGCCACAAACTGGATCCTTAGAGGCAGGCCTCGAAGGTCCCCACGCACTCACACATGCACTCACACACGCACTCACACATACATTCACACATGCACTCACACACGCACTCACACACGTACTCACACATGCACTCACACATGCACTCTCACATGTACTCACACACGCATTCACACACACACACTCACACACACTCACACACGCAACCACACACTCACACACGCGCGCACTCACACACTCACACGCACTCACGCATTCAAACACGCACTCACACACGCACTCACACATGCATTCACACACGCGCTCAGAGGTTATGACAATTTGTACTTTTTGTAAACCAGTCAGGATCCCAGAGAAATTTTTCTCTTTTTTTCTCTCACTCACTCACACGTGTATGTACACAAGCATCCAGACAAAGCCAAGACTCAAGCCACTTAGGAAACTGGTGACACCTCAAAGAGCCAAGCAGGGCCGGGCGCGGTGGCTCAAGCCTGTAATCCCAGCACTTTGGGAGGCCGAGGCGGGTGGATCACGAGGTCAAGAGATCGAGACCATCCTGGTCAACACGGTGAAACCCCGTCTCTACTAAAAATACAAAAAATTAGCTGGGCATGGTGGCGCGTGCCTGTAATCCCAGCTACTCAGGAGGCTGAGGCAGGAGAATTGCCTGAACCCAGGAGGCGGAGGTTGCGGTGAGCCGAGATCGCGCCATTGCACTCCAGCCTGGGTAACAAGAGCGAAACTCCGTCTCAAAAAAAAAAAAAAAAAAAAAAAAAAAGAGCCAAGCAGGACCAGGACTCCAAAGAGTCTGCAAACCCAAACCAAACAACAGGAATCACTGTAGTCAATTCTGGCATCCTGCTGTACTTTCCAGGAATCACAAGGTCAGGCCAGTCCGCGGAGCAGGACTGAGGTCTCAGAAGAAAACTTTGGTGGAGAGCGCCAGGAGTCAATCTTCTCTCCTCCGGAAAGGGGTGGCCTACAGGGTCCTGGAACGTCTCAGGGGGTGCCTCCCATATAGTCTGCCTCCCAATCCAGGGGGGGCCAGATTGAGTCCGGTCCATGCCCAGTGGTGAATAAATCTCACTGGGGCCTCCAAATGTTATACCCAAGCGACTTCGATGGAACAGTGCCATGCTCTGAGTTTGAATCATGAGTCCTTTATTAATTAGCTAGCAACCAAGAGATAGCTAATGGTCAAAATTCCCTTGGCCCTGTCATACAATCAGTCAACGGGGGGTATTCACAATAGCAAGTAGGCTTGCCAAGCATGATATGCTTGCAAAGGTTATATGTTCCTATAGTTCTAAGTACAGCATGACCCAGCAGAGTAGCATGACCCAGGTATGCACTTAAGGGAGAAATGGCAGGAGGGATGAGGTGAAAGATAAGATGAAGTCTGTCTGGCTTTTAGCAAGATGGAGTCTGTCAGGCGAACACAGGGTAGGTTAGCACAAACACAGTCTGAGTTTAAAATCATGGTCACTGTAGTTCTGTGCCTGAGTATTAAGAACTGTTTTCACCCAGAATTTTTCTGAACTTTCTGGGGGCAACACCTGTTAAATGATCTGGTAAAATATAAACTAGATGAAAGACTGAATAACCATGCTGTCTAAGGTAAACAAGCTAGCAAATATGCAGCAAGATTGAGGGTGGATGAGAGAAGGTGACTGTGTGAGTTTCTGCTTTCTTAGGGGGCTCAACCAGAAGTTGACAGTAGATAGTGCAGGAAGGAGTTCAGAGACTCAAGTAAGAAGACAAGAGAAAGAGGCCTTTGGGAAGGCTGGGTGTGACAGGCAAGATAATTATTAGGCTGTACTAAGGCCAGAGTGCTAGCTGTGGAATTCTGCAGGGAAATTCAGAAGGGAGCCAAGGAACCTGGAAGCCCACTTTGACTTCACCTAACTGGGGCTTTAGAGAGGCCAAAGGAGGCAGCAGAGGATGACAAACCTAGAGGCTTTGTCATTCCCTGACAGTTTCTCTGTACCAGGCTGGAGGGCAGGGACTGTCCCTAAACAGTTTCTTCCTTGAGGGAGGGCATCTGGGAACAGTGCCTGAGAATCTGTTTAATCTTTAACAGCACCCTAACTGGCAAAACAGAGTCACAGCTTACTAGGCTGAGGCCACTTAGTCCAGCAAACTCGTCTATGCCAAGAACAGCCAAACATTGGGAGAGATTCCACATCATGGCAGAGTTGCCAAAATAGATTTCACAGTGCCTAACACTAATGCTCACAGAAACTGGCATTTGCGGCTGCAGCTACCACTATGGTAGCTAGCCTACGTCAGGTCTTTTGTGTGCAATTCCTTTCATTTCTTCTTCACATCAACCCTATGAAGTACTGTTATGTCTATTTTACAGATGAAGAAACAACGCTGCAGGAAAATTAAATGACTTGTCCAAAGTCACCTAGGAATTAGGTCACAGAGCAAGGATTTGAACCCAAGTCTCTCTGGCTCTGAACCTGAGACCCCTTATGTATTGGTGATTGGGTTTGGAGCTCTCTGCCTTAAGACTTGACCACTGGGCAAATGCCCTACTATAGCAAATCTTATTCCTATGAAAGCCCTACAGACCGGCCCCCTAACCCTATATCTTAAAACACTTGGATATCCATGTCCTGCTTTCCCTTGTCCAACCAACATGGGCAAGCTGTGAAAATCACTTAATTTGTTGTTGGTGGTGGATACATACAGGTCTGCAGCAACTTCAGTTCTTCATCCTTAGAAGAAAGAATTTTACAGGGGCATTAAGGCAAAGGAAGAGACTGAGACAAGTTTTAGAGCAGAAGTGAAAGTTTATTAAAAAGCTTTAAAGCAGGAATGAAAGGAAGTAATGTGCATTTGGAAAAGGGCCAACTGGGTGACTTGAGAGGTCAAGTGTGTGGTTTGACCTTTGACTCAGGGTCTATTTTTTTTTTTCTAATTTTTTTTGTTTGTTGGGTTTTTTTTAATTGCATTTTAGGTTTGGGGGTACATGTGAAGAACGTGCAAGACTGTTGCATAGGTACATACATGGCAGTGTGATTTGCTGCCTTCCTCCCCTTCACCTATATCTGGCATTTCTCCCCATGCTATCTCTCCCCAATTCCCCACCCCCTGCTATCCCTCCCCTATTTCTCCCCAACAGACCCCAGTGTGTGATGCTCCCTTCCCTGTGTCCATGTGTTCTCATTGTTCAATACCCGCCTATGAGTGAGAACATGCGGTGTTTGATTTTCTGTTCTTGTGTCAGTTTGCTGAGGATGATGGTTTCCAGGTCCATCCATGTCCCTACAAAGGACACGAACTCATCATTTTTGATGGCTGCATAATATTCCATGGTGTATATGTGCCACGTTTTACCTGTCCAGTCTATCATCGATGGGCATTTGGGTTGGTGACTTGGGGTCTTATACATTGGCATGTTTCCAGCGTTGTGTTAGTTCTTCCCTGATTCTTCCCTTGCGGTGGGCTGTCTTCATGGTCAGTGGCCTGCCAGCACTTGGGAGGGGCTGCATGTGCAGTGTGTTTACTAGAGATGTACACATGCTCACCTGAGGCATTCGTTCCTTACCATTCAAATGTTCCTAGAAGGTCATATACCACCTAAACTCCACCATTTTGCCTCTTACTATGCCCATTTGCTTAACTCCTGAGATCTTATCAGGAAGCTTCTGATCACATCTTCAGGTGTTTCCTACCTATTGTTTGACTGCCTTTCCCTGGTGCTGGCTGAGACCAGTTATTATTTTAGAGAGACAACAACTGTCTGACCATCATCTGACGGCCACCTGGCATTACTGGTGGTGGTGGGGGGAGGGTCTCTCCTTTTCTCTTCATGTCTGACTGGCTACCTACTGTAACATTTACCACCCCCCAAGAGTCCAAGACCCTAATTCTTTGGTGAAAATGGATCAAGGTCAGTCTTCTGTAACTACTTCCTGCTGACAGTGGAGTGGAGGTGGTTGTTCTATTGTTGTTCTGTGGGTCTTGGCCTCTTGCTAGCTGTCAGGGTAGGGTGGCTCCATGGGTTGGTGAAAGTGATATTTAGTCAAGTCTATGGGAGACAGGGGCAGGGTTTTGTCTCATGTCTCACTGATGGGCAGTCTAGGAGACCCCTGTAGAAGAGTGACTCTTGAATATTGAGAGGATAGCAGCCCTCACTGAGGATCATTTGGAGCTTGATGGTCTGAAGGTGAAAGGAGAAAAATCCGGTTACTAGATTTAGAAGAATTTTAAAATGAAATAAGGGGGTGAGGACAGCTCCAAAAAATCTTGAGGCTGCCAATATGCCCTGGTAGCTGGTGGCTATAGTAATGCCTGCTAACTGGGTGCACAGTGTTGCTAGCTGATTCCAATATGTGCCCAGAATTACAGTATTGGTCCAGATTTTTACATTACCCATCCCTCTTGTTTATTCTGAACCGCAGTCAGAGATCACAGGAATAAATTGCAGATAAAAACTCAGAAACAACTGATGAGATTAGAACCTAGTAACAAGTGTACTATAGTTCTTGAAGCATAATTTTTCTCTCTCTAGCCCTCATTTTAATTAAAAACAAATTATGATAGGACAGACTTGTTTGCAAAATAAGCTTTAGTCTTATTATAATTGGTCTGATTATTTACATAAAGTGCAATAAGAATAATTATTTGCCATATAGACTCTTTTTTAAATTGTTTTTGATGCAACTTTGCTTCATAAGAAATCTCAGATAAAACTTTTTAAAGCCTTAAGCCCAGCTATGGGTTTGTGCCATTAAATACCTGTATACGTTGGGTAAATTCCTTTCCTCTTGAGGCCCTGAGATAACTTGGAGCTCCTGGGCCTGCCAGAAAGTGACATTCTTTATTTACCACAGGTCAGGAATCCTGTATATGTACTGTGTAGACAAGATATGAGGCCAGTCTTCCCAAGGGGCTTTCATTGGCTCTATAAGTTAACTTTGATTTCTTAAAGAAAGCATGCCATTCCTGTCCAAGCCTTGGTAAAATAACCAGTTTCTTCTATTGTGTCTTATTGCAAAAGAAAACAGTTTTTTTTAACTTATGCAAATAACTATATTGCCGTAAGTTAAGAATACTCACAAATAGTTTCCAAATTCTGGATTAATCAAGTCAGAGAAACAAATATGCTCCAAATTTTGTTTACAGGAGTACTCAATTGTTAAATGCTGCAAATAGATCAAAAGAAAAGCTTTCTTGACTTTGAAAAATAAAGGATTAGCAATGCTTTAAGTAAAAAGTTAAAAATGATTACTTCAGTTCATTTCTGTTCTGCTTGATATTTATGAACACTTTAATTTTCCAAGAGAGTCTTAGAAGTTCTTTTCTCTCCATTTTAATGTAACAGCCTCCAGCGTTACCAGAAACCTGCATTCACCAGCACCTGTCAGAGTTTTATAGTTGATTATAAAACCACCTTTTAAAGAGGATCAAAATATGACAACAATTGTCTGTGGATGATGAAATGTCTTAGGGCTGCCACAATCAAAGACACAATTTACAAGGAAATTTGTTACCTCAGTGGTAATAAGTTAACACAATTTAATATAAGAATTATATACAATAATTTAACATAAGAATTATTACGGATAACACATACTAAGTAATATCAGAATTATAGGAGTGTTGAATAATTTTGGAATACATACCAATAACACATTTATACAAATACCAAAAGAAAGCTGTATTTTACCTTTGAATTAGCGTACTGTTGATGTCAAATCCAGTTCTTAATAAAAACCTTATAGAAAAATCTATTCAATCTGAATCAATTTGACCATAAGGTAAGATTCTCATAAACCTTTTATAACCCTTTACACTTTTCTCTTAAAGAGCAGAGCAGTGCTGTAAGAAAACCATGTACTTATTTAATATTTAATATTTAATATTTAATTTCAATATTTAATTTCTGGATAAACTGAATATCACTTTAATTTTAGCTAATATATTCACACAGACTTTCTTTAACAATATTAATCTTTCACAAGCTTTCCACAACTTACTCAAACCTTCAGCTTTATCCTATCTAACTTAATACAATTCTTTAGCCCCCTAAACTAGGCAAAAAATCCACATTCCCATGCCTCTTATAATCTTTTACCAAAAGCACATTCTACTTTTCTTACATGTCTTGCATGTAGAGCTGTTTGTCCACTAGTCTCAAAGATATGTTACATGTTACACTGTTAACTCTTAACAACTTTTACTTTTGGTGAAAAACCCTGTTAAGTAAGTGATTCTAATTATGTGCTAGGTTTGGAGTCAAGGACACTGGACAGAAGTACAGATAAATTCTGACATTTTCCAGCATAGCTAGCAGGCATGGCCAGCTCTGTATGTCCCCAGGCCTTACCTAGCTTTAATGGCTTTAAAACAGACAAGTTGTACAGTTAAGAGTCATAGCAGTTATTTATTACCTTAAAGCATTTAGTAAGCCTAATAACCTTTAAACTGTACAACATTTCTTTCATAAAGTTCCTTTCATGAATCTTTTTACAACTTACACAACCTATGCTTGCACTTTCTGTCTTGCCCTAAACATTCCTCTTTGTAAACAACCAGTCATTTTATATTAGGACAAGAATTTACCATACAAGATTCTTTCTCATATAAAATCTCTTTAATGTTTGTTACCAAAAATATCCCTCTCTTTATTAACTTTGAATGAGAAAAAAGTAATTTTCCTTCTGTTAGGTTTGTACTGCATGTTTTTATGAGAGTCCTGTGAAGGGAGAGCAGATAAGGAGGTTATCTGTATACTGTATGTTAAAACTCATACTCTGAATGAAGATACCACCCCCCGCCCCCACAGGCTTTGTGTGAGCAACATGCCTGTTTATTAACCTGGGTGCAGGCAGGCTGAGGCCGAAAGTAGCATCAGCAGAGGGAGGTGGGATAGGAGTTGGTTTTCTAGCCTGTGGGGAAGGCAGTGGAAAGTTACAAAAGTTAAGTTTAGGGCGGTTTTTTTTGCAAGCTGGGAGGGGGGTCATAGGGTGTGGAGTCACAAGGCTGGCCAAGCTGGGAGGGGGTCATGGGGTGAACATAGGGTTGGCCAAGGTCAGTTACAAAGTCCAATGGCCTTGTCAATTGAGGCTGGAATAAGAAACAATAGAGAATATCTCAGAGTCAAGTAGGCGCCGCAGGGGTTGATCATTTCTTCCTCTTTTTATGATCTTACAGCTATTTCAGGTTTTCTAATTCTGGAAGGCCCTCCAGAGGTGTTCTTGTGGTTCACAGGGTCACCATGCTGTCCATGGCATGGTCAGACCTTACAATCTAGAAGTTATACCCCCTCAAGAGATCGCTCAGTTAGATTTTTACTAGGGCTTGTCTGAGTAAGTGTGGGATATTTCTAAACCATTGAGGTATGACTGTTTAGGTTGAAGTTATTGGTTAAAGATTTAGGTGGCTTTCTCAGGAGAAACAGCGCTATTAGAAAAATGAATTCAGATGTTGCCTAAATATTAAGCAGGTACACATCTTGAAAAGCATATTTTTGCCCCAAAGAGGTATGGGGTATTTAGATGTTACCAGGGACTGGAGGGAGAATGGTAATTGGTTCCTTATGTAATACAAAGAAGTGTGAATTTTTTTTTGGAGGGAGCGGTTGCCATTTGCTCCCATTATCCAACAGGATTTGGAGAAGAGTTGCTCAGAGAAGGAGATTAGCACAGTGTAGGCAGCTCTGGAAATTAAAGGCTAATTTATAATTCTCCTTGTTACCTCCAGGATTGCCCTTGGCTTTGTCCTGTTGATGATGATGTCTGGTTTGGAATGCAGCTGAGCAGAGAGCCCCTTCAACTCAAGGCCATCAGGGGTTGGGATTCTATGCTGGGGGCCTTTCAGCCCTCAGAGAAGCCCCGTTTCCAGTGGCTGAGCATGTGGCAATGAGCCAGCAGTGGAGAAAGAAGTCACATGGCACATGAAGTGAAAACAGAGAAGAGGCAGACTTACCCTGAGGTGGATGGTCCAGTGTGTGTGTAAGGCTATCTCAGAATACACACAGAGAAAACAGGAAAATAGGTGGTGTGGGTTTCCAGGAAAGAGCTGATTTTGGTTGAAAAAGCAGAGGAAACTCCAGATGTTGCACGGTGTTAGCCTCCAGCCCCACCACTCTCACAAGCCTCCCGTCCAGGAGGGCCAATCGTGTCTCAGGTCTACTTGGTATAGACCCCAAGGTCCTTCCCACCCCTGTGAACCGCCTGTCAGGGTGAGAGGAGAGATCAGCCAAGGGAAGCAGAGCCACTGTGGCCGAGAGGAACCATTCTGGGGATTGATTAGTAAGCAGGAGAGCAAAAGAAAGAAGAAGAAAGAGCAAAAAAGAAAAGGAGAATGAAGAAAGAGAAAAAGAAAAGAAAGCAAAAACAAAAAGTGTCTTCATGACTTACTGCTGTCAGAAAGAAGGTATGTGAAATTTTAAGACAAAAGTAGGTTTGTCTACCACCTAGCCATATGACATATAACTTTTTTCCTTGTCATTCTGAAATACAAACNAAGACAGCATACAGGGGTTGAATATTTCCAGTGGAAGAAGGCAAGGTGCAGAGTTGTCTTACCACTAGGGAAATTTATCCAAGGCACACGACGCCAAAGTATGTTAGCAGCAGCAAATCCCTAGGCTTGAGCCCACTCGCCCAACTCCTGAGATCTTACTGGGAAGCTGCTGATCACAGCTTCGGGTTTTTTCTATCTATTGAGAAACTGTCTTTCCCTGGAGCTGGCAGCAACCAATTATTATTTTGGAGAGACAGTTAACAACTGCCTGACCATCACCTGATGCTCACCTGACATTCCTAGTTGGGGTGGAGAGGGGCTCGCCTTCCTTGCTCATGTCTGACTAGCTACCTACTGTAAAACATTGACTACAATTCTCACTAATCCCTCCACCCAGTCCAGGTCCTATCTCCTACTTTTTGGTTTTTAATTCCATTTTAAGTCCTACCTCTCTTTCAGAATATGCCAGCAGATCTCAATTTCCCCAGCTCACCCTTGGGCAAACACTAACTTGGGTTCGAACACACCTAGCTGCCTTGGGTTGCAACCCCCTAGTCTAGCTCTGGCCCCTGGGCAATAAGCCCTAGTGTCACTCATTGCCAGGCACCTCCTGCACTTCCTCAATAGAAAGTTCAGTCAATACATGCTACACAGTCTTTTGGTGGCCAGCCTTTCCTTCCTGCCAACCTCTGACCTTGGGCTGTCCCTTCCATTCTGGTTTGAATGGGCATTTCCCGCTGTTGACTAGGTTCCTGCTTCCAGCCCATTCTCCCAAGTCCTATTCTCCTGCAGATCTAATTGTAGCCACCACACCCTCTCTGTTGGGTACCCGACCTTGGCTCTTCCGAATTTTCAGTTTCAATGGTGACATGAGGAGCTATAAAAGGAAAACTCCTAGGGCCTTCACTCAGCATCTATTTTTCTCTATTTTTATAAACTTTTAATTTTTTTCTTGAACTATAACATGCCTACAGAAAAGTGCATACATCAAAAATGCTCAGTGAATCACCGAAGGTGATACATCCTCTGCCTATACCTCTCAGGTCAAGAAATGGAGCTTCAGTGATACTCTGTTTGTCCCTCTGTGCTCCATCCCCATTATTATCTTTGTCTTCCTCCCCAAGATAGCCCCTATTCTGATTCTAACCCATGGGCTGGTTTTTGTCTGTTTTTGAATTATACCTAAATGGAAGCACACTGTGTGCATTCTTTTGTTAAAAACATTTTAAAGTATTTGTCGTTATTGTGGTAAAATATACATACCACAAAATTTGCCATCTTAATCATTTTTAGGTGTACAATTCAGTGGTATTAAATACATTTATAATGTTGTGCAATCATCAGCACCATCCACCTCCATAATTCTTTTCATCTTATAAAACTGAAACTCTGTGCCCGTCAAACAACAACTCCCCATTTTCCCCATTGCCAGCCCCTTGCAACCACCATTCTATTAATACTTTCTGTCTCTATAATTTTGACTACCCTACTTTATATAAGTGAAATCATATG